GGGGGGAGATAGAGGGGGCGTGTGTCTGTGTCCACCCCTAGGGTGGGCAGTGGGGGGGGTCTGTGTCCACCTTCAGTGTGGGCAGTAGGGGGATATGCAGGTACCCCCATGGTGGGACATAGGGGTCTGTGTCCACCTTCAGTCTGGGCAGTAGGAGGATCTGCAGGTGCCCCCGTGGTGGGAGATGGGATGGGGGTCTGTGTCCACCCCCAAGGTGGGTAGTAGGAGAATCTGCAGGTGCCCCCATGGTGGGAGATAGGGGTCTGTGTCGACCCCCAGGGTGGGCAATAGGGGGATCTGCAGGTGCCCCCGTGGGGGGAGAGAGGGGTCTGTGTCCACCTTCAGTCTGGGCAGTAGGAGGATCTGCAGGTACCCCCGTGGTGGGAGATAGGGGTCTGTGTCCACCTTCAGTCTGGGCAGTAGGAGGATCTGCAGGTACCCCCGTGGTGGGAGATAGGGGTCTGTGGGTGCCCCCAAGGTGGGAGATAGAGGGGGCGTGTGTCTGTGTCCACCCCTAGGGTGGGCAGTGGGGGGGGTCTGTGTCCACCTTCAGTGTGGGCAGTAGGGGGATATGCAGGTACCCCCATGGTGGGACATAGGGGTCTGTGTCCACCTTCAGTCTGGGCAGTAGGAGGATCTGCAGGTGCCCCCGTGGTGGGATATAGGGGTCTATGTCCACCCCCAGGGTGGGAGATTGGGGGGGGGTGTCTGTGTCCACCCCCAGATTGGTCAGTAGGGGCATCTGCAGGTGCCCCTGTGGTGGTCTGTGTCCACCCTCAGGGTGGGAGGTAGGAGTCTGTGCCACCCCCAGGGTGGGCAGTAGAGGGATCTGCAGGTGCCCCCAGGGTGGGCAGGTGGGGGGGTCTGTGTCCACCCCCAGGGTGGAAGATGAGGGTCTGTGTCCACCCCCAGGGTGGGCAATGGGGGGGGTGTGTGTCTGTGGGTGCCCTCAGGGTGGGAGATAGGGGTCTGTGGGTGCCCCCAGGGTGGGAGATGGGAGTCTGTGTCCACCCCCAGGGTGGGTCTGCAAGTGGCTCCGAAGTGGGAGATGGAGGGTCTGCATCTGCACCCAAGGTGGGCAAAGGGGGTCTGCTGGTGCCCCCAAGGGTAGGCAATGAGGGGTCTACACCTGCCCACCCCTCTTCCCTGGGAAGGACAGGGGATCTGTGCCTGCCCCACACACACACACCTCTAGGGTGGGCAATGGGGGTCTATCCCAAACTGGTTCCCCTCACAGGGTGGGAGATGGGGGGGTCTGTGCCTGCCCCCCAGGGCAGCTGGGGCTTCCAGCCCCACCACACTCATCACACCCATCTTCCCTCCTGTCCCCCAGTGCCTGGATGGGATTGACTACGACGACTTCAATTTCAGCTCCCACATGATGGAGCAGAAGGAGCCCCTGATGGAGACGGGTAAGGGCCCCTTTGGCTGTGCCCTCCCGGGGGTCCCCGGCCCAGCAGGGTTTCCCCGCAGGCTGACTCACCCCCCGTGGTTCCCAGCAGCACCACAGGCTGTGTCCCCACAGCTCCCACTGTGAGCTGGCTGGGAATCCCTGCCCCGTGCCACTGGGATGGGGACTCTTCAATCTGGCCCTGCTGCTCACTCGAAGAGGGACTTGGGATTTGGGGCTGTGACAGGTCCCCAGGGGCTCCCTGAGTGCCAGAGCATCCTCTGCCCCTTCCTTCCCTCCTCTCCCTCCTGCTCCCGGCTGGGCTCTGGCAGCACAGGGGCTGGGGGTCCTGAGGACCCCCATGGGACAGACAGAGGGGTCACCTCACCTTCAGCACCGTCCCCCTACCTCCAGCATCTTTACTGGGAGCGTGCACTTTGGGTACCCTGTGTTTCTCACCGCTGCCTCTCCTCTCTGTCCTCCAGTGGAAGGTCCCTACCTTGTCATCATCGAGCAGCCAAAGCAGGTAAGGATGTCACCCAGGTAAGGGCAAGGGGGCTGTCACTCCCTGCTCTCACGGGGCATCTGGATGGGCCATCCTTGGATGATACCACCTCCTACCACCACTTCTTTGCCTCCGCAGCGGGGGTTCCGATTTCGGTACGGCTGCGAGGGTCCCTCACATGGGGGGCTGCCAGGAGCATCCAGCGAGAAGGGGCGCAAGACTTATCCCACCGTGAAGGTGAGCACTGCCCTGGGGAGGTGACGGGGCAGCATCTTCAGCCCGTCTCATGGCGCTGGAGGCATGGGAGGGCTGTGGCAGGAGGGCTGGTGGCCACCGGGTGGGCTAGCAGGGGTTTGGGGGGAGTCCTGCCACCTCTTGGGGGGACCTCCCATCTCCTATCTCTCTCCCTCCCCACAGATCTGCAACTTCACGGGGATGGCCCGGATTGAGGTGGACCTGGTGACACACAGCGACCCTCCTCGTGTGCATGCCCACAGCCTGGTGGGCAAGCAGTGCAACGAGGCTGGCAACTGTGTGGCCATCGTGGGACCCAAGGACATGACGGCTCAGTACGTGGGTGGGAGACCCGGGAGGGCTGGGGAAAGGGGGATGGAAGAGGAGGGAAGAGAGGAGCCAGGAGCTGGGTTTGCTGGATTGGGGCCAGGAATGGGTTTGGACAAGGTCATCGGTACAGCTCTGTGCCCTGAGTGTTTTGCCCAGCTCTGGGTTGGGCACCTGCAGCTTGTTTTGGGCTTCTGGCCTCAGGGTTGCTGTTTCTCAGCAGATTTGTAGATGACTTCTGTAGCCTCAGTCGCCGGGTTATTCCATAAGTCCTGGAGCTCCCTGCCCAGGCAGCTTCTGGGGCAGGAGCAGGCAGGCTCCTGGCTGCTTGTGTCCCCACGTGCCCTGACACTGCTGGTCCCACAGCCCCGTTTGGAGAGGAGGATGTTTTCCCTGGGTCTTCTGCTGGAGTGGGACAGGAGGCACGAGAGCTGTGTGCTCCTCACTGCTGCACTTGCTCTTACAGATCCCAGCCTTGGGCTGCTGGCTCAGCCTCTTCCCCTTGGCATCCCCCTGGCCTCCAGCCCTCCTGGTCCTCCCCTGTGAGAGCCTGGAGTTTCCCAGCTCTTTTCTGGGCTCCTTTCCTCTCCTCTGCAGTTTCTCCTGTTGTCCCCCCACATTTTTACCCCCCACTGCCCAAGTGACAATGTTCTGTGCTTTGCTCAGCTCCTTCTTGGCCACAGGAGTCCGTGTACCCCCCTGGGCCGGTTGCTCCCACATCCCAACGGGATCCCTCTTCTCCTTCAGGTTCAGCAACCTGGGTGTGCTCCACGTCACCAAGAAGAACATGATGGAGATCATGAAGGAAAAGCTGAAGCAGCAGAAGATGCGCAACAGGAGCCATCAGCTGACGGGTGAGGGCAGCCTGGGGGGGTTCAGTGGGACTCGGTGTCCTGGGGGGAGCGGGGGGGACTTGCTGTGGGGTGACCTGGAGCCTTGTCCCCTTTGCCTGGCCTGATGGCATCTCCCCCCTCTCCTCTGGCAGAAGCGGAGCTGCGCGAGATCGAGCTGGAGGCGAAGGAGCTGAAGAAGGTGATGGACCTGAGCATCGTGCGGTTGCGTTTCACGGCCTACCTGCGGGACAGCAGCGGGAACTTCACCCTGGCCCTCCAGCCCGTCATCTCCGACCCCATCCACGACAGCAGTGAGTCTGGGGTTGGGCTGGACGGGGATGGGGGGGTCGGGGCAGGATGGGGTGAGGAGGTGAGGGATGCTCTGTCTGCCGTGGTGTCTCCCAATGTCTCCTCGCTCTGCAGAGTCCCCGGGAGCTTCCAACCTGAAGATCTCACGGATGGATAAGACGGCAGGCTCGGTGCGGGGAGGGGACGAGGTCTACTTGCTGTGCGATAAAGTTCAGAAAGGTAAAAGCTGTCCCAGAGGGGCTGCAGTGGGAGAGGTCCATGTCCCGGGACCCGGGGTACCCTGTGGTCGGGAGACGGGCAGTGCCAGGTGCCCCTTCTCTCCCCAGATGACATCGAGGTGCGTTTCTACGAGGATGATGAGAACGGCTGGCAGGCCTTCGGGGACTTCTCCCCCACGGATGTGCACAAGCAGGTATGGGAGAAGCAGGGGGGGCATCCTGCCGTGCCCCAAGGCGGGTGGGTGCCCTGTGGGGGTGAGGGAGCCCCATCCCTGGCTCCGGGGAGGAGCGGGACCCCATGTCCGTCTGTCCTGCCCGCAGTACGCCATCGTCTTCCGCACACCCCCCTACCACAAGCCCAAGATCGACCGTCCCGTCACTGTCTTCCTGCAGCTGAAGAGGAAGAGGGGGGGTGACGTGAGTGACTCCAAGCAGTTCACCTACTACCCCGTGGTGGAAGGTGAGCCCCCCCTCCATCCCCAGGCACACCGGTGTGCCCCCCACCCCACCGCTGGGGCTGCCCCCTCACCCTGCTGCCCCTCTCTCCCCGCAGATAAGGAAGAAGTGGAGAGGAAGCGCAAGAAAGTCCTGCCTCAGTTTCCCCAGCACTTCGGCGGGGGCTCACACATGGGGGGTGCCGGCGGGGGGGCCGGGGGCTTCGGATCTGGAGGAGGTGAGTGGGGGGACATCTCTTCCCCCTCCCCGCTCGGGCTGCCGTAGCCCGGTCCTGGGGTCTCCCCTCTGACCTCACCCACCCCCCACATCATTGCTCTGCAGGCGGGAACCTCAGTTTCCCCTACTCCCCTGGGCTGGCCTACAACAGCATCTACTCGCCTGGCCCCCACCCCGTGGGGGGGTACCAGGGGGGGGTGCAGATGAAGGGCCCGGAGGTGGAAGGACCGGGGAGCAACCAGCAGGCACCCACGGAGGGCACCTCCTGCAAGGACCTGCAGAAGCAAGGTAGGAAGCCGGGCTGGGGGACATCACTCGGGAGAGGAGACATGGGTTGGGGACCTTTCTGGGGTGGGTGGTGCTCTCTTCCATGCCTTGGGGGGGATGCAGGAGGGTGGATGTGGCTGCTGCTCCTGGAGGTGACATCCTGCTTTGCTCCCCCCGCTCCCAATCCCAGCTCAGCTCTGCCAGCTGTGGATGCTGGCACTGGCCCGTCGCAATGCCCATGCCCTGCTCGACTACTCGGTCACCGCCGACCCCCGCATGCTGCTGGCGGTCCAGAGGCACCTGGCCGCCTCGCAGGACGAGAACGGAGACACGTGAGCGCATCACAGGGGGCTTTGGGGGGAGGGTGAGCCGTTATGGGGGCTCTCAGAGCCGTTATGGGGGCTCTGGGGTGGGAGGTGGCAGGGAGGACCTGGAGGAGCTGAGCCTTGGTGGCCATCAGAGGTGTTATGGGGGCTCTGGGGCAGGGGGGGTGTGGGAGGTGGCAGGGAGGACCTGGAGAAGGATGGAGCTGAGCCTGGGGCCATCCCGCTCTCCCCACAGGCCTTTGCACCTTGCCATCATCCACGAGCAGACGGCGGTGATCAAGCAGCTGATCGAGGTCATTGTGAGCATCCCCAGCCAGCAGATCATCAACATCTCCAACAACCTGAAGCAGGTGGGTGTCTCCCAGAGCTGCCGGTTCTCTTCTACCGGGGGCTCGCTCCCGTTTCCCCACCCCAGGGGGCTCCCGCTGTGGGGCTGAGCACGGTGCTGGGGGGCTCAGCTCCTCCTGCGAGCTCTGCTGAGGTGGAGGTGGGTGTCCTTTTGTCCTGCAGACACCGCTGCACCTGGCAGTCATCACCAAGCAGCCCCAAGTGGTCCAGCTCCTGCTGCAAGCCCGTGCTGACCCCACCTTGCTGGACCGCTACGGGGATTCCCTGCTTCACCTGGCCCTCCAGACTGGAGATGAAGAGATGCTGAAGACACTGCTGGCCCACCTGGGCTCAGCTGCCCCATACTTGCTCCGCCTGCCCAATTTCCATGGTGAGCAGGGCTGGGAGATGATGGGCAGGAACCCGGTGGTGCCACCCTGGGCTCGTCCAGAGGGCTGCTGAGCCTCTTCCCACTGTTGCAGGCCTCCTGCCTGTGCACTTGGCCGTCAAGGCAAAGAGTTTGGCCTGCCTGGACCTGCTGGTCAGGAAGGGAGCGGACGTGAATGCGGTGGAGAGGCAAGGTGGGAGGACCCCGTTGCACCTCGCCGTGGAGATGGAGAACCTGAACATGGCCACCCACCTGGTGAAGAAGGTACGGTTGGGGCTGGTGGGGTTGGTGGCTGTGGGACAAGGATGGGGTGCAGCCTTCCATGGTGCCCTGGCAGAAGTTGGGGGGGTTCCCTGTGGTCTTAGGGTGACAAGGGGCGGGGGGGGACAGTGCCCAGGCACTCAAGTGGCCTCATGTCTTCCTCCATAGCTGGGAGCAGATGTCAACAGCCGGACCTTCGCTGGGAACAGCCCCCTGCACTTGGCCGCTGGCCTGGGCTCCCCCACCCTCACCAAACTGCTCCTCAAAGCTGGTAAGATGCTGCCATCCTTTCTCCTTCCCACAGCCAGGGGGGTGCCCAGCCACCGTGCAGACCCCCTTCTGGGCCCACCTGCCCTTTTTGGGGGCTCAGTCCACCCTTCCCTGCCAGGGGCAGACGTGCTGTGCGAGAACGACGAGCCCGTGAGCCCGTCCTCCTCGGAGGCCAGCAGTGACACGGACGCCGACCCTGAGGAGCAGGAGCTGGCCATGGAGCTGGGGGAACCGGCCTCCACCGTGGAGGGGGGCACCAACCCCGAGCCCCCCGCGCAGGCAGGGCACAGGCAGCGCCGCTGCCACACACCCCTGGACCTGACTCGGAGCCAGAAGGTGTGTGGGGCAGGGGTACAAACTGGGGCAGAGCTCCAGGAGATCATAGAATGGTTTGGGTTGGAAGGGACCTTCAAGATCATGCAGTTCCAACCCCCTGCCCTGGGCAGGGACACCTCCCACCAGACCAGGTTGCTCCAAGCCCCATCCAGCCTGGCCTTGAACCCCTCCAGGGATGGGGCAGCCACAGCTTCTCTGGGTGAGGATGTCTGTCCCCCAGGGAGGTGGAGTGGGTTGGCTGGTGCTTTTTGGGGGGATGCTGACCTCCATCTGTCTGTCCTGCAGGTGCGTGAGATCCTGCTGCAGGCCTCCCAGCAGGGTCCCGAGGCAGAGATGCCCACCGCCCCCCGGCCAGGTGAGCAGCCCCTCTCCTTAGAAAAGCTCCATGGTGGGGCAGGGCAGGGCAGGGCAGGACCCTCCCTCCCGACAAGAGGAGATGATGGAGGCACTTCTCCTGCCCAGGGAACGTCCTGTCGCTGGACAATGAGGCGCTGCAGGGGCTGGAGCAGCTGCTGAACCAGGACTGCAGTGGGTCGGACTGGATGGAGTTGGCCAAGCGCCTGGGGCTCTGCAGCCTGGTGGAGACCTTCAAGGACACCCCCTCGCCCAGCGTCAGCCTCCTGCGCAGTTATGAGGTCGGTGGTCCTTCGGGGTGGTCCCCGTGTCCCCCCGTCTCCCCCCCCCATGCCCATCACTGCCCTCTCTCTCTCCCCACAGCTGGCGGGGGGCAGCCTGGGGGGGCTGCTGGAGGCACTGGACTCCATGGGGCTCCGTAACGCTGTGAGGATGCTCCACAAAACCGAGGCGTTGGAGAAGCTGCAAAGCACAGGTACGGGGAGTTTGGTGGAGAGGGGGGGTGTGTGTGTGTGTGATTGTGTCCCCACGTCCCCCCCCCATCGCTGACAGCCCCCCCCTTGCTTTGCAGAGCTGAAGGAGGACAGTGCCTACGGCAGCGAGTCGGTGGAGGAGGAACAGGCACCCACGCTGACCCTGAAGCCAGGACCGGGGGGCGAGCTGCCCCACAGCCAGCAGCCACAGGTGCATTGAGGGGCTGGCAGCCCCCACACCCACCCAGGGCAGGGGGCCAGGGGGGGGCCACATTGTCCCCCTAACCCTGCCCTGCCCACACAACAAGTGCCTTCTGGACTTGGGGTCCGGCTGCCTGGACTTGGGAGGATGGGATGCAGCTGGCTCCTGCCCCTCTCTGCTCTTATTTAATGGTCCCTCTTCTGAATAAAGGGACACAGTTTCCATTAGCCTTTGCCCTCCGTCTCTCCAGTCCTGGGGGGGTGCAGAGACCCCCCCCAACAAGCCCTGCTTGGGGCTGGGAGTCCAGCAGCAAGGATGCAGCTGCCAGCCCCTCCTCAGCATCTCTCCAACCCTGGGGGAGAAAACCACAGCGCACACAAGAAGCGAAGAGCAAGTTTTTTACTTCAGTAACCGAGAGAAGAAGCTGTACAAAGGTTGTTTTTTTTTTCTCCCCCCTCAAGCCACCTGGGGCAAGGGTGGATTATTATTATTTTTTTTTTTCTTGAGTTTTTTTTTTTTTTTTGCAATAGACTCAAAAGAGCAGAATAAAAAGTTTGACACATTCGCAAAGTCAGTGCTGAAACCAGCCAGGTCCTGGGTGGCCCAGAACAGCCTGTGTGCCAGCAATGCCCCCTCCCCTCCCCAAAAAAACTGCAGCCCTTCTGCTGTCTCTGGACCCCCCCCTGCTCCTCCACCACCGGCACCTTGTTCCAGCTGAGCATCCTCCAGCCCACCCTGGGGGCAACAAGGACCTCACAGCGTTTCCAAGGGCCTGACCATGCACTGGAGAAACAGCACGGGAAGGAAGGCTGGCTCCAGCCGCACAGGGCACTGGGGAGCCCTAAGTCAATCCTGGCTTTGTGGGGGGCTGGCACCTCCCCACTGGAAGTACTTACATGCTGCCCCTCACCCCAAGGTGCCCCGGGTACGATGCTGACACCCGAATGGGGCCAAGTCCAGGCTGCTGGGGGAGGTCATGAAGCACCAGCACATCAGCAATGGGTGCTGCCATCCCAAAGGTGCCTCCTCAGTGCCTGCTGTCTCTCTCCCAAGGGTTGCTGGTGCCAGAGCAGGGCTCCAGCAGGAGCCCAGGGGCAGCAGGGTTGGGGGGGGACTGGGTCTCTTCTCCCCCCGCCTCCCCGAGTCCATGTAAAAACCTTCTTCCCCCAAAGGTCAGTGCCTACAGGACATGGCTGGATGTGTGGTTTTTGTTTGTTTTGGTTTTTTTCTTTTTTTCCCCCCCCAAACAGTTCCCAAAAAGCATCCCCCTAAACAGTTCCCAAAAAGCATCAAAAGTAGCCCCAAAAAAACCCCCTCCCTGGTGGTCAGCTCGATCTGGTACTAAAAAGTGCAAAACCGTTATCACAAAAACCGTTCAAAAGTTGTAAGAAAGCAGGGAGGGTGCAGGGGGGGCAGGGAAGGGGCCACGTGCCATCGCCCTGGCTCCCCTGGCCCCCAGCCCCAGGAGAGGGGACAGGCCAGGGCTGGTCCCTCGTGTCTGCCCCCCCAGCCCCCCCCCATGGCACAATGGAGCTGGAGAAAAAGCGGCCGCTGGCTTTGTTTTGCTGCATTTTTGTCTTTTTTTTTTAAAACCACTAAAGAATTGAGCCCGGTAGGTGGGCTGGGGTTGTTCCCCCTCCCTGGGGTGGGGGGGGACGGTGTCCTGCAGGACAAGGAGGGGCAAGAACTGAGTCTGATGGGGGCCGACAGTGTGGGCAGCTCCCTCAGGCAAGGCCCTGTCCTGCTCTGCCACCCTCTCCGGCCTCGCTGGTGCTGGTGGCCGGCCAAGAGATGTCACCTCCCTGGCTCCTGGCACAGATGGAGGGACTCAACGCGGGGGTCTGCACGGCCTCCACCCCAGCGCCCGGGGCTGGGGGAGCTGTGGGGGGGAGCAGGAAGGGAGCTGCAGCCCGAGTGGCTGATGCCCCTTGGCTTACGATTTGTGGGGGTGGCCGGGGGGCTGGCGGCCGGCACGCTCCGAGACGTTGCGCTTCACCTTGGTGGTCCCGGCGGTGGTGGTGGCGGTGGAAGGCTCGGCGTTGAGCGAGGGGCTGGAGCGGGATTTTTTCAGGCCGTCGTCCTCCCCGCCCGCCGCGTCGAAGAGGGTGGACTCGAAGGCTGCCAGGTCCTCGGAGCCGGCCTTCAGCTTGGCCCTCAGCAGCATGGCGTAGGTGCCGTAGCGGGATTTCTGGAGTCAGGGCACAGGGCAGCAGAGAGAGGGGTTGGTGAGATGGGTACTGCTCCCCAGACAGCATCCCAGGGCATTGGAGATGCTCCTGGTCCCTCTTTCCCCAAAAGCCAGTATCCCAGGGCAGGGGGGGATGCTCCTGGTCCCTCTTTCGCCCCCAAGCCAGCATCCCAGGGCAGGGGGGATGCTCGCGGGCCTTGGTGACAGCACACAGTGCAATTCAGCTGATGGGGACAGGGAAGTGGGGGTCCATCACTCAGGATGGCCAAAAGGACAGAGGCAGAAGGGCCAGCAGCAGAGGGGAGAGGGTCTCCCCAACTCACCTCAAACTCCAGGTACTCTTCCTTCTGCTTCTTCCAAGCCAGCATCCCAGGGCAGGGAGGATGCTCACAGTCCCTCTCTCCCCCCCAAGCCAGCATCCCAGGGCACGGGGGATGCTCCTGATCCTTCTTTCCCCCCCAGAGCCAGCATCCCAGGGCAGGAGGGATGCTCCTGGTCCCTCTTTCCCTTCCAAGCCAGCATCCCAGGGCAGGGAGGATGCTCCTGGTCCCTCTTTCCCCTTCAAGCCAGCATCCCAGGGCAGAGGGGATGCTCCTGGTCCCTCTTTCCCCTCCAAGCCAGCATCCCAGGGCAGAGGGGATGCTCCTGGTCCCTCTCTCCCCCCCAAGCCAGCATCCCAGGGCAGGGAGGATACTCCTGGTCCCTCTTTCCCCTTCAAGCCAGCATCCCAGGGCAGAGGGGATGCTCCTGGTCCCTCTTTCCCCTCCAAGCCAGCATCCCAGGGCAGAGGGGATGCTCCTGGTCCCTCTCTCCCCCCCAAGCCAGCATCCCAGGGCAGGGGGGATACTCCTGGTCCCTCTTTCCCCTTCAAGCCAGCATCCCAGGGCAGAGGGGATGCTCCTGGTCCCTCTTTCCCCTCCAAGCCAGCATCCCAGGGCAGGGGGGATGCTCCTGGTCCCTCTTTCCCCCCCAAGCCAGCATCCCAGGGCAGGGAGGATACTCCTGGTCCCTCTTCCCCTCCAAGCCAGCATCCCAGGGCACAGGGGATGTTCCTGGTCCCTCTTTCCCCTCCAAGCCAGCATCCCAGGGCAGGGGGGATGCTCACGGTCCCTCCCCACCCAGAGCCAGCATCCCAGGGCAGGGGGGATGCTCACGGTCCCTCCCCACCCAGAGCCAGCATCCCAGGGCAGGGGGGATGCTTGCAGTCCTCGGTGACAGCACTGACACAGTGTAATTCAGCCGATTTGGAGATGCTCCTGGTCCCTCTTTCCCCAAAAGCCAGTATCCCAGGGCAGGGGGGGATGCTCCTGGTCCCTCTTTCGCCCCCAAGCCAGCATCCCAGGGCAGGGGGGATGCTTGCAGTCCTCGGTGACAGCACTGACACAGTGTAATTCAGCCGATGGGGACAGGGAAGGGGGGTCCATCAGTCAGGATGGCCAAAAGGACAGAGGCAGAAGGGCCAGCAGCAGAGGGGAGAGGGTCTCCCAGCTCACCTCAAACTCCAGGTACTCTTCCTTCTGCTTCAGCTGCGGGCCTTGGTGACAGCACACAGTGCAATTCAGCTGATGGGGACAGGGAAGTGGGGGTCCATCACTCAGGATGGCCAAAAGGACAGAGGCAGAAGGGCCAGCAGCAGAGGGGAGAGGGTCTCCCCAACTCACCTCAAACTCCAGGTACTCTTCCTCGGGGGATGCTCCTGATCCTTCTTTCCCCCCCAGAGCCAGCATCCCAGGGCAGGAGGGATGCTCCTGGTCCCTCTTTCCCTTCCAAGCCAGCATCCCAGGGCAGGGAGGATGCTCCTGGTCCCTCTTTCCCCTTCAAGCCAGCATCCCAGGGCAGAGGGGATGCTCCTGGTCCCTCTTTCCCCTCCAAGCCAGCATCCCAGGGCACAGGGGATGTTCCTGGTCCCTCTTTCCCCTCCAAGCCAGCATCCCAGGGCAGGGGGGATGCTCACGGTCCCTCCCCACCCAGAGCCAGCATCCCAGGGCAGGGGGGATGCTCACGGTCCCTCCCCACCCAGAGCCAGCATCCCAGGGCAGGGGGGATGCTTGCAGTCCTCGGTGACAGCACTGACACAGTGTAATTCAGCCGATGGGGACAGGGAAGGGGGGTCCATCAGTCAGGATGGCCAAAAGGACAGAGGCAGAAGGGCCAGCAGCAGAGGGGAGAGGGTCTCCCAGCTCACCTCAAACTCCAGGTACTCTTCCTTCTGCTTCAGCTCCTCGTACTCCTTTCCCTTCACCTTCTTCTCGGGCAGCGAGGAGCGATGCTCCAGCAGCTCCGCCGACATCGTCTTGAACTTGGTCTCATGGCTCTTCACCTGCTCCTCCTGGGGAAGGAGAAGGCTCCATGTCAGTTCCCTGCTCTGTACCCCTCCAGCAGTGTGAGCCAGCTGGGCCAAGAACAGGTTTCTTTCCCCCCTCCTAGGTCCAGCCAGGACCTCAGCTTCTGCTACTGGATTTGGGTCCTATTTTTTTTTTTTTTTTTTTAAGTGGTATGGAAAATGACAGGCCCTGGGGGAGCAATCTGCTCCCACCTCCCAGGAGGCTGGCTGAAGTCTTAAAGCAGAAGAACTTAATCCCCACTAAAACTAGGCTGGTGTTTTGGTTTGTTTGGGTTTTTTTTTTGCTTAATCCTTTCTGCTCCATGAAGAACTGCCCTGGCACGCGCGAGTGCCAGCTAATCCCCCCGGCCAGTTGCCTCTCAAAGTCCTGGCCCTGGCAGGACCCTGCAAGCCATGGTGTAGGACCACCTTCTCCTTCATGGTCTGAGTCCACGGCCTGTCTCCCATCCTTGCTGCCAGGAACAAGACCTCTCTGCTTGTCCCCAACCTCAGCACCCCCTTATTCTGTGCCTCCCCAGCCATGTTCCCTCAACCCTGCACCCCGCTGGGTGTGTGGGTCCCTCCACAGGGGACAGTGCCACCAGTAGACCCTGACGGGGTCTGTCCCATGCTCCTGGCTGCCCCCCACACTGTGGCCCACCTGGGACAGCCTGGTGCAGGAGCTGGGCAGCAAGGGGCGGCTGAACTTCTTCTGGG